CAATAATATGAGGATAGCTTACAAAGGCATTGTTAATATGCACGTGTGTATATTAAAATATGACGACATAACAATCTGACTCTCAGTCAAGCGGTTCTATAAATATTTCTGGGATGCAGTGGTAATAATGAGCATTTTCAGGTACTAAATATAATAATCCCGTCCTTTGATATGCTTATGTGAGCATGCTGAATGAAGAAAAATACAAGTTTATCAAAATAAAAAAATAAAAACGACCAAAACATACTCTGGCATGTAATCTGATTGATCAGCTTTTGGGTTATCCCTTTCAATAGAGTTCGGTTCATCTCTTTCATTTTTATCGTTAGGTTTCTTCTGCAGTGTGTTCGCCATAAGCATAATGTTCCTTGCAATACGTTGCTGATCAATTTTACGCTGATCCTCATCTGATCGCCTGTCTTTATTCTCAGATATGCGGCCTTCCATTTCAGCAGGGCGCTATGTACAAAAATAAATATAAAAATCATTATAATAAAACATAAATATTTTGAAAACTGTACGAGCCTCGAATATTGGTACATCCTGGGGATTCGTCCAAATCTCCGAACTTCCTGTTCCACTACCTGAATCGGCAGTTATTGCTGAATGTGCAGGTATAAGAGGGGAGCGGACACAAACCCTTGATCGGAATAATCACTATTAATTTTCAATCCAATTTACAAGTCAGCATTTTTTTAGTTTATTTTAACATTTATTCTTAAAAACTGTAAAATGGTTCCAAAATATTAGTTTTCAACCGCAACATTAATTCTTAAAAACATTTCGTGAAAATATATTGATAATTATCCCTGCCATTGTATAACTTAATGTGGTAAATAGTAAACAGTTATTTTAGAATACAGTGGAATGGCGATAATTCTTAAATCTCCTTGAATTAATTCGTAAATCTCCCTTGAAAAATCTCATTTATTCGCAAAATTTCCCTCGTTAATTCGTATTTTTTGACAATGCAACTGATGTAGGTATGTACATTAGGGCGGCTCGAAAATCTAATTTTTATCAAATCCCTTGGTAATGGTGAAAATATATTGTATCATGAAGCCAACAACAAGCCTGCAAAATATTAGTCTTTTATTTTAATTGTAAGAGCCCGCGCATCGGCCTGCAAGTGACACACAGCATACTAGTCGAATCAGACCAATTCTTGTTAAAAATTCTGGGCTCAGCAAGAGGGTTTGGTGCATATTATTAGATAATGAATCCGTTAACGCAAAATATAAAGTCAAATATCATTTCTCGCAGCCCTTTAGCTTATCGTTAATCTCAAACTTATCTGTATTTCGACCAAATTGTAATTGTAATTGGACTTTAGTCAAAAGATGTAGAGATCAGTATTCATATTTCTGGGGTGTATTTAGGTCGCTGGTTCCAAATATTCTAATCTTTTTTTAATATTAGCTGTAGTTTGCCAATTTTTGGAAATTTAGGAAGAATTTCGGTAGGTCTAATAAAAAAGTCATTATTTTCCATCACCGTGGAAAAATTTTGTTTATGCAAATGAGTATGGAAACACTGAGCAGGCACAACTTCTAGAAATACTAATTAGTTTACATACATATGCTTATGCATACAATACGAAAATTGCAAATATAGGAAGTTGACAAAAATTTTGGTTCCTCATTTTTTTTATTCTTAAATAATTTTTTATAATGTGAACGATTTTCATAATAATATTATCATAAATCAGTAACAGTAAGTCTCGCCTTAAATTTGGTATTTATTACGTACCGATGGAGTAATATTTACCAAAGTTATATCGAAAAATTTAGGTGGATCTCCAGTTTTTTTCTACAGAAATTTCTCTTCAAAAGAATCGTATTACATAAAAGTGTGGCAGGGAATGAATTTTTTGTTCAAGCTGAATGCAAAGCAATATCGTCCCCTTGGAGAGTCCTCAAAAGGATTTCCCAGGATATGTTAAAGACTATTGCATTAACCTACAGTCACTTTTTCATATAATGGAATTAACTAAAATATTTGTATTTAAACACTTATTGCACATCCCCTACTTTCATATAACGGCAAATTTAGAAACCGCGAAAATTGTGCTACTTCGGTGACTACACTCAGAAAAAAGTCAGCTAAATATATTTCTCTCAACACATGCTTTGGTAACTATAACCAAATACTGTATGATTTGGTTAATCATGTGTTGAGAGAAAAATATTTAGTTGACGTAACTAAACTCTTTTCTCAGTGTAATGAAACTATTCCGCTCCAATTTTCAAGACTGCATAAATGGACTTAAAATGGGCGTTTCTTACCGTAATTGTATTTTGTTAACGAATGTTAATACTAATGTGCTTGAAACCACTATTAATTTATAAAACGATTCTTAATCTTGGAAAATACATGTTTGACTTCATTCACAACGATTTTGAAAACTGACCAAATCGGCGTGACCAAATCCAAGGTCTTTTTGATATTGTGTAAACATCCGAAAACATAAAAACGTTTGAAATAAATCTCGTCTCACTTTT